TTCTTAAAACAATTTCCATATTCCATATAAGTTTTAAATTCATTTTTCTCAATATTTTACAAAAATATTATTTTTTTTCAAGATCATTTTTCGAATTTCGTTTTGATATCAACAAAAAAAAAAAATTAAGACTTTAAAACCACATTATTAGATATTTAACAGACAAAAAAAAAATATTAATATATTTAACACCTACACACGCGGTTTTAAAGCTCAATTAAACCACACAAAGTGGTTATTCGTTTTTATTTTTTTTAATTTTTTTAAATAAATTTTTCAATCAAAACTTCAAAATTGAAGTCAGAACACACCTCGCACGACAATCTCGTTTTGAAAGCCAAACTCAACTGAAATGTATTTTAAATTTACAGTTTTGTATCTCACAACTTGCGCACCGGTTTGAGTTCGATTCATACTATATGAACTGGGTTTGAAGTTGCAACAATACGTTAAAAAAATACTCGTAAACAAAGATCACATGTTTAATAAATGGATTTTTAACTTCCAATTTAGTTAGTAATAAATACCATTTTTTTATTAAAATTTTATTTCTTACCACAATTAAAACAAATAGAACGGAGAGAATTGTTATCTTCTAACGAATTGAATATCACTTTTATTTTCATAGTAAATTTTTTTTTTTAATGATTATGGACTATTCAATTTAGTTCATTTATTAGTGCATAAAAGTCAAAGAATCGCTGACTTTTTTATTAACGCTTTTTATTATCACATTCAAGAAATTAGTCCATATTTATTGTTTAATAATTGTCTTTTCAGTTTTATATTAATCAGATTTCACTCTCATTGATTTTAAATTTAGCTGCTCATATCTTATTTGGACCATTAGCTGTCAATTTTAATATTTAATATAGTGAATCTTTATTATTTAAGCGATGTATACTTGTGTACTAAAATTGATCTCCAAACTGTCATCACTCATTTGGCAACATCTATGTATGTCAATTTTGTCAGCGATGCAATTTATTAGGTTAGGTTATACCGGAGATCCCTAGTGGATCCACTTAGATCTATTGGTCCACTATGAAATTATAAGATTTATTAGAACTCAGTGAAATTCAGATGAGATTTTCTGTATCATGTGATTTTCATAATGCGGTATTGATCAAATCCTCTTTTGTCTGGTTAAATAAGCGGTCACCTATTTCGTAGTCCTGATTTGATAGCAAATTTTCAGTGACAGTTGTGAACTATCGTCCAAGGTAACAAATATTTATTTTACGACGTACCATTTCGTTGCATACAGTATGGATGAAGCAATGTTTAGTACATACACTAATTGGGTACTTGAAATATATTGTACAGCTAATACAGTACAGCTAAATTTTTTGCTGGGTTTACATGTCAACAAACGAAATTTTACTAGTTAGGGTAGTGAGAAGCAATAAAGAACTATCAAAAGACTATTGCAATTAGTTATGTTATGGCAGAGCTATTGTCAAGTATGTGCCTAGAAGTTATCGCAAATTAACTTAAAAGGATCCAGCACTATTAAATGAAAATATACGTTTATATATGTAATGCTGCTTTTTTTATTAACCATTTTTATGCAATATTATTGTTTCTATTTAATTATTTTACTTTTTACGATTGACAAAATATAAAATTTTTTAATGTATTTATTTAATAATTTTATCTGTTTACCGAAAATAGATTATATACTGACTATAATCTATCTATAAAATAGAAAGAGTAGTGGCTAATGTTAATGTTCATGTGTACCATATTTGAGATAAAAACATCTAGTCCACTTGATGAGTTTATTTCTCGTATTGAGAGATTCAATGCACTGCTTACAATTGTAAACCTTTTACATATAGGTCAAGATAGTTACGATTATCTACTCGTATTTTATATTCGAAGCGTTAATAATGAAACTTATAGATACTAATCAAAATATTCATACTCATTTCTACTAAAAATTCATATTTATAGTAGAAACATTGTGGTAATAGTTCCCATTGTAGTTGAAATAATTTTGTAGATTCATTTTTTAACTACTAATTGCTAAAGATCCACATGTATTGAGTAAAAATCGGTTGTAAATTTGAACTCAGCAGACCCTAAAACCGTTGGAATGAAAGATAGAAAAAAGTTCATTATTGTCATTTTTGTCACTCAGTGTTATTTTTGTATTCCATATCTATATTTGGGCTCCAAATATTCTTCAAAAGGTAATTATATCTCTCAAATGAAATAGTATATCTAGATTTAATTGGTATAAATACTATTAACTATAATTGTCATTGTCAAAGCTTGATTTTATGAATTGAATGGAATTGGCATTACTTTATCATTATTAATATTATCAATTTTTTTTATTAATATTATTTTTTAATTTCAGTGTAGGAGTTCAATGTCAAGAACTTAAGAAGTAGTATGAGTGAAGTCAATAAAATCATACGTCATTCTACTTACAAAAGTACCGCTTTTCCACATTTTGTGATTCTATGATACCGTAGGTGTAAATTATTGATTGTGTGGCTGAATTCTTTTAATCTTGTCAAGCAACAGAAATTAGGCTTATTTGCATATTAATTCTAACAAACATAACAGGTTCGCTTACAAAATATGAAAGACCATTTATGAGATAAAAGCTTTGAAAATAAAAAACCAAAAACAAAATTGTCTAAAAGAAAAAACAAAAATAAATTTTAATAGAAAAGCTAAGATTTCTATGCACAGAAACACCTTTACGATTTGGGTCAAAAAAAGGGCCGGCCGCATCTACATATCGTACTATGGAAGCTAACATAATACGGCCGCATCTATGGAGAGCGTAAACAAGTGTATAGTACGCAAATATGGCTGCAGTGAAGTGAAAACGATTGTCTGGCTTTTCTAGTCTTTTGTGCTGTTTTGTTTCCAGTCATCGCATAAATGGAACCGGTCATCTTGAGCCGCTTACGCTTAGGCATAGAAAGCTAATATGTATTTTATTAAAATTCGATCTTTTAATGCTATACCTATTAACTATTTTAATAAATTTTGTCTTTTATCATATAAAGATAAAAATTACACATAAAATTTTTTTATTGTCCATCTTTGAAGACAAATTTTAATAAATAGTGAATTGTCTGTCTGTTCGATAGAGCTGTGGTAGCTATAAATTTCTATTTTTCTCATGTTTTTATAGTTTTTTACTAAAAACTTAAATAAATAAATAAATAAAAATTAAACTTGTTCAAATAATTTTCCATAACAAAAATGTTTTTCACAGAATTGTTGAAAGTATGTTGTTTGCTGTTTTAATAAAACTGGAGTGCAAGTATGACTGCGTAAAAACTGGTAAATCTGCTAGGAATGCTATTCATTCTTCAATGCATCTGTGCATAGTTTCGTACTTACCTATACGTTGATTGGCTTGGAATGGTTGAATTGCTTGAGAATGCAATGTCGCTTATAAGGACGTTTTTAATGAAAACGTACGTGGAAACTGTTAAATATGCGCATGTCTAAGATTCAACTTTTTTGTTTTTATTTTTATAGATACTTTTTAAGCAATAACAAGTCAACTTGTAAATCTTTATTAATGTACGAGTAAGTTATGTTTGATGCTTACTGTAACAATTCACATATGTCTATAAAAATTTAGAGCCTTACTTGTCAAATGAATGCAGTAAAGTGAGATTTTTTACAGTTGCCATAAACTTTAAGTGAAATAACAATTTGCTAAATTATTATTTTTTTTTTTTTCAAATTAGATAGGTAGAAAAAATATTTATAGATCCTTTAATGCCTTGAGTAATAAAAGTACTGTTTCTCGCTTTCACTAATTATTTCACTAGTAATTCTAACAGTTTTCTAAGAATTAAAAGAAAATTATTTAATGTTAGTTTTTCCTTGCCGAGAGTGACGCTTCTTTATGACGAAAAGAAACTATTTATTTATTATTTATTAAATTATTTATTATTAAATTATTTGAATTTCATTATTCCAAAAATAATTTGTTTTTTATACTGATAGAGCCAAATTTAACAATATATAAAATAAAATTTTCATACAAATTCCAATAAAATTTCATAATTGCGCATGTGTATCTAAATTTCATATGCCTTGCTAGACTGATAAAAAAGGGTTAAAAGGGTCTTCCTGAAAGACTAATTTACCGCCATGCAGGCAACGGTCATTGGCTAATTTGCCTTACCTTCTGCTCAAGAAAGTTTTCCGGATTTTGTTTTTTGTTAACTACTCCTTAATAGACCTTTTTCAAAAAAATTTTTTTTTGTTATGTTGGTATACCTTTTCTTGACATATGGTACAAATTTGAGCGCCATCTGTCAATTAGTTTGTTTACAGCAGCTGTTAATGTGAGACTACCTCAAGTGCATTTAGCGATTTTTACTATGGAAAATTCTTGTTGTACGCAATTTATGGACCAAACACGGCAACACTATCATCGCTCAGCCACCATATTCGCCAGATCTGGATCCGTGCGACTTTTTCCTGTTCCCGAAACTCCAATTGCCCTTTCGTGGTAAGCGTTTTGAGTCGATTGAATCGGTAAAAGAGAATTTGCTGAAGGAACTAAAAGCCATGCCTTGACGGACCTACGAAAAGTGTATGGAAGATTGGGTTAAGCGTTGGCATATGTGTATCGCTTCAGATGGAGCATATTTTTGATAAAATAAAATTTGGAATAAAATTTAAATTTGTGTGTTTTATTTACAAAATCCGAGTACTTTTTGAGCGGAAGGTATAATACATTATATATTAGCTCCGACGTCTTATTTTGGGCGACTTAAAGATCTTAACAAATTTGATATACCATTTACATTCAATAATGTGAAGACTACAATTCAAATACCATATATGCTTGTTCTATTCTAAACATTTGCAGTTGTGAATTTTTTTCTTTTTCACCTCAGGTGTTGTAAAAATAATTATTTTTTTAATAAACATACACTGTTTCTTTTTTTTTTGTTTTTTTCTGCGCTAAATAAAAAAACAAAAAAATTCTAATTATTTGTTTTGCTCGCCGGTCATCATGTATTCTTTTTTCCACTTACTTCATTGATCATAACAAACGCACCCGCCTTACTCCCACTAGGCGCAGAGAGCGCAAAAAATTTTAACGAAAACGCAATAAAACTGAACGAAAATTTCAAAAATTTCTTTCCCAAAGGTTGGCACCATTGAAAACCGTTCAGTTGAAATTCTTCTTTCGATTTTGCTCATTCGTTTGCAATATTCCTTGAAAGCTTATCCCAGACGCTCGTACTACTGAAGAAGTGTTCGTGCGACGGTGGTGTACGCAAAACGGGATTATTCAACACAAAAATGAAGTCCACAATAATTTCGGTGAAAAATTCATAGCAAAAAATAAAAAAAATATTTGTTGAAAATTTTTTTCTAACAATATTTTTTTAATTCAAATAAATTAATTCGAATTTTGCGTGAGTTTGTGGTGAAGGAATTACGTTGGCAGCGTTCCTATTTCCGGAATAAGAATTCATTTTTCATTGTGTAAAAGCCAATATCAATCGATAGAAACCGTTAATATATATTTAAATTATTCGGTTTTTAAGTGAATAATAGTTTTTTTTTATAAGAATGGGTAATCAACCTGGAAAATTACAGCATCAAAATCAAAGTGGGAGACCTAAAAAAAATGTGCGTTGGAAAACTGCAGGTAAATGGCATAATTTTCATTGTAATCGCGTAAGTAATTTTAAATGCATTTGGTTATATATATACATACGTTTGCGTACATATAATTATATATAAAGCGTATTTATATATAAAGAATTTTGTACAATTTTTCACAATAATTATAACATAAAGTCACACATAACCAGACTGTAGAAGCGCTGAAAATAGGTTTATTTTTAGAATTTTTTTTTACTCAAGTGGTTGGTGCCGTCTTTAGATTTTCTCTCGGAGATAATACGAAGAGCAAATTTCTAAACATTGGTATATGACAAGGCCTAAATACAAATTCAGAGAAGATTTTTAGCAAGAAATTTTTATCGTCGTATATTTTATTTATTTACGTATGTATTTTTTCTGAATTTTGACATATTTTTTTTAAAATGAAAATGTTCAAAATGTTTTCTAATTTTACCAAAAAAAAAAACCAAAAAAATGGAATAAAAAGAAATCGAAAAGTAATTCTAAATGCAATAAACAAAAGGTTTCGTTAAGTAGGAGAAAATAGGCATTGGTTTTTGTATATATAATGAGCTATTAGGATAATTTAGTGAAGAGTTTCTCTGCGTCTCTTTTGTGTTCTAATTAATTTCATTCATTTTTTTGAATCTATATTAGATATTAATTCAAAACAATTTTTATATGTATGAAATACATGTAATTGCAAAATATTGAATAGAAAAGAAACATATGATTAAGAATTTAAACTGTTTGCTACTGTCTTATATTCAAAGCATCCATAAAAAAGAAGATCTACATACTTTTTGAATAATATAATCAAGGAACTCGATCCTAGAGTTACAAATTTAAACATTTATATCACAGATAATAATTATAAAAAATTCAATAAATAAATAAAGATATTCATTCGAGTTAGTGATCGCAAAGAAATTATAATTGAGATGCTATGAGCGTTTGTTTATACAAAAAATATGTGCAAATGCGATATTTGAAGAATCATGGATTTCCAATAATAATTTGGTGGTGAGTAAGTTGCTATATACAAATATAGAAATTTGTCACTTGTTTAATAGTCACTGTATACTATATACTATATTCCAAAATATTACTTCTAATATATTTAAAATTATTATTATAAAATTATAAATATTTAAATTTAAATATTTAAATTTATACTTTTTGAACACTATGTTTTATCCTATTATTTAATCTATACTGCTATTAAAAGTTTGGATATAGATTTTTCAGTTATTTCTATTACGTGAAAATTATCCCATTAAGGTATTTGCGAGGTTAATTTAAAATAGTCCTTTTCCATGATATTTATGGTCGATCACGTTATCTAGTAACTTCTGGTTAGGTTATATTATGCCGGCGATCCTATTGTGTTACCTCTTTAAGTATTTTTAATATAAAAATATCCACAATAATGGATACATTCATATTAAAACAGGATGTGGTATAACGTATATGTAGTATATCCAGCTGTATAAGCGCATTTATATGGCTGCGTTGACAGTCAATTAGTTTGTTATTTGCCGCATATCTTTGTAACTTACATTCCCAAAAATGTTTTACTAACTATGAGTTATGTGCGTCTACTATTATTATTTCTACATAAATATTACACAATTAGTATCAGGATAATAATGTCCTTTTTTGTGTCGTTATCAATTAAAAATATAGCACGATATCGATTTTCTGTACACGAGGATTTAACAACAGATTTCAATAGCGTTGGCTATTTTAACCAACTTTTCTCACTTCACTATATTGCTGACATTTAGCTTATATAAAATTGTCATTTTTTTCAATACACAGAATACACATACTATCTAGTTGTAAATTAATTATAGTTAATATTTTTTTCGGACTGATGATACCCGACTCCCTAACATTAATATATAGTATATGGACTAAAACCGCACCGTTTCGGCGAGACTTATTCTCCCTGGGGACCGATTTCGCATTACTTTAAGAAGAGTCTGTTTTACGTTGACATTTCAAGCCATGCTCTTGTGATTTTCGATCTATGGTATATTCAAACATCCACTTTTTTACCGTATTTTCTATTCTATTATACTATGCACTACTCATAAGCATAGTTTCTGATTCTCCTTTCTAGGTCTAATTCGCTTTGAGAACTTGAATCGTCATTCGTCAGTTTTCTGGGTTCGTTTCTTATCTTTTTCACTATATTTTCAGAAGTTATTAGTCCAATGTGGGCTATTATCGCTTCTTTAAATGTGAATCACCAGTAAAAGGTGTACTTTGCGCCATCATAGTCTTCACTTGTAAAAGTATCCATGTCTGGTCAGCATCTGAGTAAGATAATAATTTGTATTTGTGTCTCCCGATTTATAGAATTTTTAGATTGATTATACAAATATTGAGTAACAGTTATTAGACGGCAGTTTTTTATTTTGTAGGAATTTTTGTATTCAAAGTATTCTTACTCTTCAGACTTGCATTTAGCATATTTGAAAATATTTTTTGAAAGAATTTAGCATATTTCGATTCCTACCCCACATAATTTTTATTTTAATTTATAAAACGCTATATCTTATAGCAATAATATATAAATAATGAATAAATAGCTCACATGTATTTCAAATTTTTTTTTTTACAGAACGACCTTCACCGCCTGGGAGACCAATATTAATACCGCTCTCTGATCAACAGCCCGATGTTGTTAATTTAAGTTGGGAACGTCCAAAAGTTGATGGAGGCTCACCTATTACTGGTTACGTTGTTGAACATCGTAGAATGGGCTCACCACATTGGGTACGTGCCACACCTACTCCTGTGCCACGATGCGAAGTATCCATTAGTGGATTGGAACCTGGTTGGCGTTATCAATTTCGAGTATTTGCCGAAAATATTGTGGGCCGTTCAGATGCAAGTGAACTTTCTGATGCATTAACAGTAACATTACAACGTAACGCAATTAGTGTACCACGCTTCACCGACGAACTTCAAGATACACAAGCTGTCGAAGATGAACGCATTGAATTTCGTGTCCGTGTGCTAGGGCAACCAACACCAGAAATTAGTTGGTTTAAAGATGGATATGAGATTTTCAGTAGTAGACGAACGAAAATTGTAAACGATAACGACGTCAGTGTGTTGATAATTCATCAAGTTGCACTCACTGATGAAGGCGAAATCAAGTGCACAGCGACGAATCGAGCTGGTCATGTTGTAACGAAAGCCAAATTAATGGTCCAAGCACCACCTAGAATACGTTTGCCACGTACTTATGAAGACGGTCTCATAGTAGAAGCAGATGAGATTTTACGTTTGAAAGTAGGTATTGCTGGACAACCAACGCCAAATGTATCATGGTTACATGAAGGTGAGATCATTAATAATGAGGGACGTTTTGAAATAATAAATACGGATCGCAATTCTATGCTTAAAATTGATAACATACAACGTGATGATCGTGGGGAATATAGCATACGTGCTTCAAATAAACTAGGTGATGACATAACCTCATTTTTGGTAACAGTCACTGCCAGACCAAATGCACCTGGTAAAGTTAGAATAAATATGTCCTTTGGAAAATCTGCTACACTCTCTTGGACATCTCCAATTGACGATGGTGGGTGCAAAATCGGTAATTATATTGTAGAATATTTCCGTGTCGGTTGGAATGTGTGGCTGAAGGCAGCGACTACACGATCACTGAGCACAACTTTGCATGATTTGATAGAAGGTTCTGAGTATAAATTTCGGGTGAAAGCTGAAAACCCATATGGTCTCAGTGATCCAAGTGAAGAATCTGATGTACTTTTTATACCGGATCCCAAGCGTGGCATTACAAAGCCAAAATCTGAGAATAAAAATGATGAGAAAAATAAACCAACCCCACCTCGCAGGAAAACTCTTTCGCCACCGCGTGCGCAACAGGATGCAGCAACTGAAACCAGAGTGTCACCATCAGTAGCACGTAAACCGAAACCACAATTAATTGATAGCGAAGATTTACATCGTGAAATGTCATATGGTACTTCGGATCAAGCACTAAAAATGGATATACGCAAGAGTCCATCACTTAGCAGTGCAGATTCAGTTGCACAAAGCATAAAATCTAAACTCAGCTTAAATATAGACGCCTCTATTCCAGTAACTAAATCCCCGCAACGGTCTCCAACAAAGGAATATAAATCAGCATTACAATTCCTTACTTTTAATGCACCTCAGAAAGATAAATCTCCTTCTCCATTGACGCCCAACGTACCTTTAGCTACTCCTGAACCTTCAATAACGCCTGAAAAAGCATCAACTCCAAGCAGTGTTGAACGCAACCCTACGCCACTTACACCTACTTTAGAAGCTCGTAAGACTACAGCAACACGTAAAAGCCCAACACCACCAGAGCCTATTAAAAATACTCCGGCACTTGAACGTAGCGCAGAACCTGTACAATTAGGTGTAAATCAACATGTTCGACGTTTCTCTGGTCACTCCCTAAGTCCTGCAAAACATGCCCCTGCTTTAGCAATTGCCATTGCCACAGGTGGTCTAGGAGTAACTATTAACAATAACGCTAATGGCAAACAAAATGCAACAACGATAACAAACCCAACTATACAAATAAGTGCTCCACCTCCAAATCCTCCAATGCCTTTAACTCCACTAACAACTCCAGAAACTGAAACAACTCCTCAGTTGAAGTCTATATCCCGCGCTGAGAAGCACGACGATGTGCACACAAGCAACGAGTTCATGCTTGTCGTGTTTGACAAAAATAGTAAAGTTAAGGATAAAGACAGTAAGTGTTTAGTGTCACCTTTCCAATATACCAGTTCACCAATACTAATTTAAACTTTTTCTTTAATTTTTTTTAAAAATTTTAGAGCAAGACTCCTTCGAATTGGACTTAGAGGACGCTATACAACCACCTCCTATATCAATTTCATGCCCAGACTTAGCTTCATTAGAATTTACTAACTTACATACCTTCCCTCTACGTCGGTCTGTTAGTTCGACCGAATTGTTATATGAACGTGCTATGGCTAGATTTTATGAAGCCGTGGAACTGGAAGAAGCGGAAAAAGCGCGCAAAGTGAAAATGTCTGTAGACAAAATACCAACTCCTAGTAATGTGCAACCCACAACTATACGTAAACGGTTAGGATCGATGACTGAAGCTGAGCGTCTTTCTTTCGAAAAACGGAGCGAAATAAGACGACAATCGGCTGATGTTGGAGGTGATTTGAAATCAGCATTAAAATGGAGCTCACGTGAAAATGTATCTGAAATAAAACCATTGTCGCGTGCTACTGGAATGTTAATTAACAAAAGACAGCAAAGTCAAGAAAGTGATGACCTGAGTGATTTTCAACCACCAAGTGAAACAAATAAAAATACTAGTTATGAGCTTGGATCTGATTATACAGAAAGTACTGCATCTTCTGAAGAGGATTCCATAGAGAAATTTAAAATTGAACTACTGGCACGAACAAGATCACCTAGTCCGCGTGAACTCGAGACTTATCACCCACGCAATATGTCTGCAGGTACTTTTACACCATACCGTGCTCCAACACCTGAAGAAGCTGCATTAGTACTTAACCGCCCCGTGCCATTACCTAGCCCAGATTTCGTACCGAAACCAATACTTAAACGGTCTTCAACAGAAAACGTGCCGCAAAATGTAATTCAGCAAACTAACAATAACAATAACAACTCTGGAGGTGAGAAATTAGATTTAACTAAAGGTATAAAATCATTCTTCAAACGCGACAAACGTTCAGCAACTGAAAAAAATACTGAAGAAAATCAAATTCTATCAAATCCGAATGAAAAGACGAACGCAGCAAATATTGCAGCAGATATTGAAGTAAAACGTAAAGTTAAAGAAGAAGAGGAACGCAAACGAAAAGAAGCGGAACGTCTTATGCAGGAAGAATCACACGCTGCTGTTGATCACTATAGTGATTTAGTACGAGAAGTGAGTTCGACACGAGGATATCACACACCAATATATCTTGATAAAGATGAATTGAAGAAAATCACAGAGAAAGCAGCAAAAGAAGGTAGTGCAGATGAAATTGAACATGAAAAAAATGTTACAGATCATTTAAAATTACGCAGATCACACAGTCCAGATATTGGACTAATGCCACCTATAAACAACAAACCAAGGCTCTCAATATCTGAACGTGGGCAAATGGTTCATGTACGTGAAACTGCCAGTAACTTAGCAATGACGGCAGAAAATAAGACAAAGCCTCCTGATACACCTAGTGAGGACAGTACAAAACAGTTTTCAAATAGAACCGAATACGAAAGCGAAATAGTTACTGAAACAGTTGTAAGTGAAACACTGGAAGAACGTCCAGATTCACGAGGACGTACACGAATGGTCAAAGTAAAACGTATTATTAAAAAGCGTATGCCATCAAGTACACGGTCGCGAGATGCATCCACAAGTCGTCCACCTTCTAGTCTGGCATCTGCACAAGATATAACAATTAATAACTTGGGTATGGAACCGGAAATAACTTTCAATAGACGCACTGCATCACGTACACGTTACGTAAATCAATCTAAATCACCAGTATCATTTAGAAGTGCACTACCGAATGCTGAACAAATAAAAGACCTTAATGAATTGGCAATGATTGCAACTAGTAAGGAACTAACAAAAACAAGAAGTCAAGAACAGTTAAGTGAAGAAGCACACGAAAAAGTTAGATCCGCGCTTAGTTACTCTACTGATTTAGTACTCTTTATAGTTGCATGCTATGTCTATATATTTAAGGACGCCAAATTGGTACTACCAATATTAGCCTTATTAATTTATAGACAACTTGGTGAGGCAATACGCGCAAACATACCAAACTGGATGAAACGAAAGAAGGAGGAATAACAGACTTTAATAGCAACTAATATACCTACTTGATATGTCTTCAATTTTTTGATACGTAAAAATATGATAATTGCCATTATTGTCATTATTGAAATGATTTCAAATTTATTTAAATTTAATTTAAGCAAAATTACTTTATATATTATTAATTAGTTAATATATTATTCGTAAGAAAAAATATTTGTGTTCTTAAATTAATTACAAAAAAAGTTTAAAATAAAATTAAATAAATATTTTAAATTCCCATAAGTTGAGGTGTAAACACCTTAAATACATTTAATATCAATTTGAATCGTTATGATCAACCGAATTTATTCAACATATGTTTCATAAATTGTTAATTATTAAAACATTATTTAATTTACTATTAATAATAACTATTTTTTAAAAAATAATTCTGAATTATTTATTATTATTTAAAGATTTTGTGTAATTTCATCAAATGTTGCTATTAGAAAAATTTTCCAATCAAATGTTGCACTTTTAATTATATTGTTCATAAATCTCTATTAATCTACTATCAAAATTCTCAATAATATTCGATTTCGGAAGCTCCTATTATAATTATTATTATTAATAAAACTAGTGACGTGAATTCGTCTAATATTCGCCTCACTTTTAATTATATAAAGTCCTCTACAGCTTCGTGAACAAAATCCAGAATGAATACGGAAAAAGAGCTTTAATCTGTACTGGCGACAGAAATGAAAAGTTTCTTCTGCGCGTAGTTAAAGCTGGACAATTACAAAAAATATGCATAGTTGTCTCCTCATCTTCAAAGTATAATCTGCGTTCCGGATTAACAGATAGTTAAAGTTCATGAAGGTGATATTTCAGATCAAAATGACCCATAATGAAACCCGTTAGCAACCTTAAAAGACTTTTTGAGAAGTCAAGAATATTTTTGTAGGAGTTTGATTTGATCAGTGCTTTGCTTTCACTAAGTCCAGGGAAACTTCCCAGTACACCAGACGACAAAGTTCTCCCTCTCCCTAATTATTTGTTTTTTACTGACCCTTTTCAACCCACGAAAGAGTTGAGGGCCTGTAATGTCGGTTTTTGATGCAATTCTAGCTAGCTCATAAGTTTGTTCAATACAATACACAAAATTTAATTTATTAGTTAAATGAACTTTGAACTAAGAAGAAGTGGTTTTTTGAACTAACAAAATCTTTATTAATATTTGAAGATTACTCATTTTATTAACAAATAACCAAAAAATTACTGAAGTTACATTATGTATTTGTACCAGATATACATATTTTTATTTGTATGAAGAATAGCGCTCCTAATTTTATTTAAAACTAAAACTACTTACAATAAAATTTTAAAACATTATAGGTAATTTATTCTTGGCTTTTCCGCACACACTGTGAGACTTTCTTCTTGTACTCCGAATAGTTTTGAGTGAATTCCCGAGCGGCTTGCAAATTGGCAGGTGACGTAACATTGGGATCCGAAAGTAAAGATACTACTGACAGTAATATGGTCTGTACAGTGTGAACAGGTAACCAGCACTCCCCAGCTCTATAATTACCCCAAGCAAAATCACGGGAATCCTGGAGTATAGAAATACAAACAGTTCCATCCGCATAGATATTTGGATGCCACATATTTGAAAGAAATTTCATTGTTGGCGGACGTAAAGGATATTCTATAGGAAAGGACAAAACTGCATTAAAAACGCCTCCTTCAAAAATAGTGTCAGGAGGTCCCATAATAACGATTTCCCAATTGTATATATCGGAATCATCTTTTAAGCCGGCGGAAAATATATTGTTTGGATTTGCTTGAAGTTCCTCCAATTGTTTCATTAACATTATCTTTGAGCGCAACTCTGCCATTTTACTTTAAAATTAACACACAATTTTATATATATATTTTATATATATAATTATATAATTTTATATATTTTATATATAATATATATAATTTTATATATATATATTCTGGTATTTTAAATTTAGTTATACTTTTTGAAGCACAATATTTTCTGTTTATTTTTTTTATTCAAATGTTATGAATTTTGATTAGTGTTAAAAAGAAGTTCTCAATGCTTGCTTAAATCTTTAAAATTTTATTGCAAAGGAATTGGATTTCCTAAGGACCATGTTATATAGACTATGACGGCATGAGTAAAATTTGTCTTGTTTACAATGCAAATTATAAAATTGAAAATGAGAGTAAAAACACTATGAACTTAGTGAACACGATAGGAGAAGTACTATTTTTAAATTCTCGTTACTTTTTTATTACTATATATGATGACTTTAATTTATTTAAAGTCTATACATATATAACTGAAAATATTATTTATTTATCTTAAATTTGAAATAACGATGACATAAATTGTACATAACCAATGGCAGTTGAAAAACCTTGTTCTTCTAATTATTATTTGTCATCATTTATATTGAAAATGAAAATAAAATGTCCTATAAAAATTGGATTTTGAAACGATTTGTCCATACAAAAGTTGAGTCGCCTATAAATTTTCTAATAACTGAGTTATAACCAATCACCGTTGAATTAAATCTATTATATGAATGTTTAGAGACAACATTACTATTGCACTTTACTATATCAAAACTTGAGTTTCCATTTAAAGCAATATTTTACTTCGGACTCTGGTTCGGGAAATACTTTAAGGACTACATTCAAAGTTTTAACTGTTAATATTATTTATATGTTGTTTTTCTTTTTATCTGATTTCTATAACTACTATTAACATTAGATAGTTTCTATTTTTATTCGTATTTCACACTTCAGTTTCTACATGTTAGTAGTTTAAATTTATATATATATATATAGTTCCCGCAGATTCTATGAAGAGCAAATGGTCACAAACGATTTTATTTTTATTTTAACAATTATATAAATATTGATCTTATTCTTTATCATTGATTGATCTCTTCGGCACAATGTATTCTTTTATCTTTTAGCGTTTCTGAATATTACGTATATAAAACGTAATATTCAGAAACGCTAATATTTGGATCAATATATTTTTACTCATATGGTATTTAACGTATATACCTAACGTATATAACGTAAATATGCAAGGTCTTTTAGAAACTAAAAAATGAACAAATTATTGGAACGATAACTTTTTATCAAAATGGATTCCAATAACGTTCTATACATTATAATCCACTGATCAAGGCCTACGCATCATTATCCAATAATGTTTAAAAAACCAACAATGGCTATTTTGGAGATTCTTTAAATCACTATTATAACAATTTTTGAATATACATTGTGCAAATATGTGATTAATGAGAATTTTGTGAAGATTTTTATATTCTATTGATCGGATTCAATTTTATTTGACCTTAATTACTGATAACAAAGTCTAAGACATAATTTTAGTTTAGTTTAATTCTCTTGTCACTAATGGAAAGTTTTTGGTTGATTTGGTAAAATTAAATCAAACTTGTTAACATTTTTATTAAATTCTCTATTATTGGTCACTATCATTTTAAAAACATTTCTCTCGTCTAGTAGCTTATTACCATGTCGAGTGTCCTTGTCGTTTTAAGTGGCTTATAGACTCTCGCTAGAATCTATTCAAATTTGTTAATATTTCTATCAAAATCTAAAACACTGGTTACTAACTTTTTAATAACATTTCTTCATAAATCATAGACTCGTTAAAATCTATTCAAATTTGTTCACATTTCTATTAAAATCTAAATCACTGCTTATTATCTTTTTAATAACGTTTCCTTCCTATTGTCACAGGGTGCGGTCCTAGGTTTTTTGCACAATCGTTATGTATGTGTGTGAGCGTTTGATTCTGTTCTTCTGGATATAGCATCAAATTATGCCATAATTGCTATATAACTACATAACATTGATCATAAAAGAGCCTTAGTCGAAAAATCATTAACGGAAACTTTTAATTATTATTTTGATTAATAGGTAAAATCAAGTTTTGAAAAAAAATCATATAAATATCGAATAAAATATTAAGTTAAAAATAGCCGCCATAATATAAATAAATATTTTACTTTAATATTAAATTTAGTATTGAATTGGAGGTCCATATATAGATGATCCATATGTAAGTGGTCCATATGCTGCAGAAGCTACTGGCCCTGATGTTGGTGTAGTGGCATTAACTTTGACCCAATCAAGTTGTGTACGAATGAACTGATCGATTTCAGTAGTATTAACGCCTATTGCTTCAAGTTGAGCGATAACTACTTGTGATGCAGGAAAAGACATAACACGATTATAAGCTGCTCCCACAGCTGTTACACGTGTCCATAGCTGAGCAAATGTTCCATTCTGTGCAACTTTGGCAGCAATATGACTACGTACAAGTTGTTCGGGATAGTAGGCAAAAAATTCAGCAACAAATCCTGGCCAACCAAAAACGCTATTTGACCAGTAAGATAATGGATTGAAAATATTCATTTCGATAGATTTGTCCATTTCTAGCGAGTCTTCTAAATACATCATCTGCATGCGTATCCAGGCTTTAAGCGTTATTACTTCTGGCTGTTGCATAAAGCGTACACGTAGCATAAAAGCTTCGTTAGTATTTATAGAACGTATAATAGATTGGAACTGTTCGTCGTTAAGTAAATAGCGTGCAACCAATTCCTTAATTGGTTTTATAGCTATTAAACCCTGGAGCTCTTGTAATTCTTGTACTAAATTTGGTCCCACAGGTGTCGAGTTAGTAGCAGGTACATTGCGTGCTGGTTTGGCTGCTGTTGACAGATGACAAGCCAGACATAGAATATAAAAAACCGACACGTATTTCATTTTGTTGGGATTCCGAGTTGAAGAGGTGCTGTTTATCGCTCGAACTTATTTTCGTAATTACCTACCAGTAACTTAGTTGAGTTGGTCTTTATAGTCGAAGCGTTGACTACATTGCAAGGTAAAGAACTTTCGCAGATGCCTTTAGTTGTTTTTTTCTGACTATTATGCTTATCTCGTTTAAACGTCATTTAACAGAAAATTATTAGTTTACATAAGATTCATAATGGGTATGTTTTCTCGCAGATTTTCAAAGTCGACACTTTTGTCAACAGTTTTATGAAATAATTTTAATCTTTAAGATAAAATATTTTATCATTTAATACGAAACGGAAAAAATACTTAGTGGTGGTTTGTAACTATTCGTGAAAGATTTTTTTTGTCTGTTATTAGTCACTAAGTAATTGCCATGTGTATGATTTTTCTTTAAGCAATGAAGTAGATCTATACTCCTGCAGTATGTTTATATATATTCCTACAACTTGGTTTATTTTATTTTTTTCTGTGGTTTTCTTTTAAAGTATGCCTCTATGTTTTCTTTAAAATTTATAATTGAAATAAATTCATTAAATTCAATTCATTAAAATTAAATTGGTAAATCGCGGAATTGACAGATTCATCACATATTTATGTATTCACTTCTTCTTCAATTGTTTATTCAAAAATTTAATATTACACAATCATATAAATTACAATATGTTAGAAATAATGTTTTTGAAGTTCTCTCTATCTCTAGCAGTATGTACCAAATCTCCAATCATTCTTAACCCAGTTCAGTGTCGCATGTTCCTCAACTAAGTCATTTGTTTCCTTCCCATGACGCGTTTGCCTTCGATTCCGCCTTCCACAATCAGTTGCAGCAACTCATATTTTGGAACTCAGATGATGTGTCCAAAATACCTCGTTTTTCTTATATTGATAATTTTTAAGAGTTCTCCATATTTTCTTAATCTTGTTAGAACTTCTTCATTTGAAACTTTGTCCGTCCCAGGAATCTTCAGAATACGTCTGTAGCACCACATTTCAAACGCTTCGATTTTGTTCATTGTTTGAATTTTTAAAGTACAAGATTCCAAGCCATAGAGTAGAATTGACCAGACATAGCATTTAACGTAGCAAATACGTAAATTGATTTTTTGAATTTGTGGAAAGAGTTTCTAGCCATCTCTATTCGACATTTGATTTCTTGATCTGATGTCCACTCTTCGTTTAGCCAGCAACCAAGGTATTTAAACTTAGCTATTCGTTCAATAGCTTCAGTTCCAATTTGGATGGTAGCATCGTTGTATGGTAGTCGTGCATTCGCTTACTCCTATTAATCATATTTATTTTTTTTTTTCATTTTATATTATTTTATTAATAGTAAACATCACATAGCGCTTAATTCATAATTATTTTAATAAGAGTAAATATCATATAACAGACACTCATAATTAATTTTTCTTCATTAGGGCCAAACCCGGTAAATACAAGGGTTCCAATTGTAGTAATATGCATTTTTGGGTATTTCAATAGAAATTTTCAAATAGGAGAAATCTTTTCACAAATTTTTTTCTTAATTATAAAACATCGATAAGATCGATAAGAGCTAACGTACTATTCACGAAAGGTTATTTACGGCTGAATCTTGATATTGATGGCATTCCCATTCAGTTTGTTGATAAGCTTAAACACATTGGAGTTGTATTTACTCCTAAATGCCACTTCGTCTTCCATATCAGTTATGTCATTCCATATTTATGTCATGCCATATTTAGACATAAGAACTTTAAAAATGCGCTTCGCAAACATACTTAATTTAATGGCAAATTAAAAGTAAAATATGAAAAAAAGCACTCATGTGCCACACATTTTTCGTATACCTTTCTTGATCCTGACCTTCGAACGAAGAGTTTTCTGCAATTGCGTGAACTACAAACGTAGACCATATGGCAAACATTACACCAACTCTGTGTGCAATTCTGCCAAGGTTATTTGAATAAATGAGTATCTGTTTTATGTACTAGGAAATATTTCGTCTACGATAGCAAACCTCACAACATCCTCCAAGTAACTCCCTCCCAAGAACACTGCTTAAGGTACAAGACCGCTTAATTCCTTTGTTTCTATCTCGAGAAGGAACAACCGTTACAGAATACGCTCTACATCCGAAGTCGTTATGACCCCAAACTTCACCCCTAGTTTGGTCGTTTCGCAAATTTGCACCAATCTCATACTCTTCATTCATCACAATATTCCATCTTAAATCAAATTTTTCATGCTGGTTTTGTTAAATATCTCGTCTTCTTTCTGGAATAGAAATCCTATTAAACTTTTAAGTTCTATGGTTGCAAACTTCCACAAATCCATTCCTAAGTGGTGGTGGGTTCAAGTCTTACACCATAGCTTTGGATGCTTTCGACCGCAGATATTAAAAATGAACAACCTATGCATACAATTTTTGTTTTCTTGAACCAAGGCATTATTTCGGAAGTATACATGAAGTTCCCTATGTAAGTATAATTTTCGACACCATCAGTATTTTTTGCTTTTTTTTCTCTATGTGTGCTTGATATATTTGATTGATGTAAACAATCTTTGATTAAAATTATTTATACTTGGAAGCAAGTACATAAATTCTAATATTTTTCGAGTTTAATATTGTATGGTCGATAGTTTTGTTTAGCCAGTATTTATCTATAGCGACTAAACTTAATTGAATTTAATTTACTAAAAAATTTTCTACTAACATTTAGGGCTTTCTACAGCACTGAATAACGACTGTTAGTAATTTATGTATTTACTAACTTTACAATAACACAATTTCTTTATAAGCTAATATTAAATATTTACATAAGCGCACAGCAAAAAAAAACGTTAAAAACATAAATTTTTTTAAGATAATCTTATTTTTTTTCTTCTGTTTATGAACTAAAATTTTCAAGTTGTTTAAGTAAATTAATTCTTTAAAAATAATGACAAAAGTATAAAAATTTATGGTATATATGTTAACAAACATTTCCTAGAGACATTCTTTAGAAAGTGACTCATATATCGATTTATAGATTAAATTAAGTCAGACATATCAAAAAGAAATAAATTGCTTTCATTTAAACGTTACATTCATTATGTTAATTATTTCGTATTTAATAAAATTACCAAAAAATTATAATAATTAGTTTATGGTTATAAAATAGATAAAATAATTTGTGAAACTGCTTGGTACCTCGTAGGCAATCAAAATTTTTCCAAGTTATTAAATGAAAATGAAGAAACAAGTAAGGTCAGCACGTAAAGAACTTATCAAAGACGTGTTAAGTAATGTAAATGAAATTACTTTGGAACAAAAATCTGAATTGGTGCATTTGGAAACATTTCTATCTTCGGAACAGAAGTGGCAAAAGATATTTATCATCCGCAATGACCAAAAACAACAAATTTTAAGCGCAACTGTACAAACTGTTTTTTGTTTGAGAGTGGGTGTCGGTACTATTCAACATCCCATATACGATATCAAGATGCTCCACAGCACATTCACTGAAGAAGATTCAATGCAATTATATCGGAGTTTACGTTGTGATGCGTGTTGTTGCCCGATATCACTACAAATGTTAGAGATCTACGCTCCATTTAAGAACAAACTAAACCTAATCGGAACTATTGAACAGCAGTTTAATTTATTTTACGCCGTATTTCACATAAAAAATCCAAACAAGGAAATACTTCTGAAAATTGTTGCTCAAGACATACATATGTGTATGTTTAAGGTAATAATTATTTATAATTAACTTAATTTTATGCTCAAACTTACACATAGATGTAACAGAGCTCAGAAGAAAATAACATTAATTTTTTAAGCAAACTTACATTGTAGATTCTAACTGCATATGGGCTTGAAGTAGGCTGTATATATCGAAAAAGTGTTTTTGATGGTGATGTTATCGAAGAGTATTCGCCATTATGTCTACAATACAATGAAAATTTACAAAACGAGCATAGATTAATGCTTTTGGCTGCTACTCTTTTGATTGTAAGTACCTAAGAAAAATATTACTTTCAGACATATATAACTCACAGACTTAAGAAATATTAAGTGGGTAATTCATCATAAGTTTATATATATATATGTGATCATATATAGGAAAAAGTGACTGCACAATAAGTCTTTTAGGTCGTGGTGCATTCATAGCCTATTATTTTATAATAACAGGGGATTTCTACCAGTATTGTGGGTCCTTTTTTAATTTTACTTCTGCTTACTTCTAAGAAAATCCAAGACAACCTCAAAATAATCAATGGCAATTGGTATTATTTCCGGAAACAAGATATCAAATTGTATCTAATTTAAACTATTAGGTTTTAGTTTTAATATAGGCATTAAAAATAATTCTGTAATGTAAGATATTACAGCTACATTATATTATTAGATTGTAATGCCATATATCATATCATCATATTTATATGCAGAATAGGCTACTAAAAAATGCTTAAAAATTTATACCTATTTAATAATAATGGCCTAAAGGCGAGAGCAAATAAAATTTACTTATAATCATAATAATTAATAGTTAAATATAGGTCGTGTGCGAGTTAGGCTAAGTTGCGTTCTAAATGAGGGAAATTCTAAGTTGTGTCGATAATGTATTGAAGTGTCGATACGTGTTGATAAATGGCATAATGTGTGCAGTGCAAAAAATCCCAAAAAATCTCCCATTTGGTTTAGCATCAACTTAGCCTAACTCGCACACGACCATAGTGATGCCAAAACTTCTCATATATGCCATCAGCTGTTCCAAAATTGAACTTCCAGATTAGATTTCATTTGAGCTACAGTTAACGCACATATGTCCAGGATCATAATCAAAACTTAATAACAAACTATTCTTTTTGAAATTGTTATTTTACTGGACTTTACTATGAGTTCTGAGTATTTTAATTCACTTTAAGAATCTCAAAAAAAAAACATCCTTTACTATATAAAATTGCTATATATTAATTTAAAAATGCTTTTAGAATGATAATTAAAGTACAGCACCACCAAAATAAATGCAAATTCTACTTAAACACGCCATTAGTATGTCTAGAATATTAAATACTTAGGTCGTGTGCGAGTTAGGCTAAGTTGGGTTCTAAATGAGGGAAATTCTAAGTTGTGTCGATAATGTATTGATGTGTCGGTACGTGTTGATAAATGGCAAAATGTGTGCAGTGCAAAAAATCCCAAAAATCTCCCATTTGTTTAGCATCAACTTAAGCCTAACTCGCACACGTCCTTAAATAGAATATTAAAATCTATCAGATACAATTGTGTAGCTGACTCACACAGTTTTGGGGAAGAAGTCTAATCATCGTCAGTTATTTTATAACCTTTCTTGCCAAGGTTTAACTTACAATATAAGCGGTAAACATCAGTTTCTTATACTGTTGACGAGTGGTTGCTTATTGACATAGTGTCCATGATTCCTACAACTAAAAATATCTGCGTCAATGCTAGACATATCATACTAAAAATAAAAGAAAAAATAAAATAAAAATATATTTTTTCCTAGAATAAAACTCTACATGGAGACCTTCACACATTGTAAGTCCCTCTTACCTGTAGTTAAGAGATTCAATACAGGTCCAAACTGTAATTACATAAAATATATTATAGTCGAGCATATAGCACTACTTATTCAGAACTTCCTATCTAAATTATCAAAATAGTAAATCAAAATAGTTTGTTTAGGTACCAGTAAAAATAGTTATGGAAATATAGAAATCAGCAAACAACTGCAGATTTAGCATTAGCACGTTCAAAAAACATTAATTATTTTACCAAATAAATTTAAACATAAAAATTTTTGGGTCTCTTCTATTTTTATATATTTTCTCATAATTCCAGTATTTTATAGTTATTATGTATTATAATTGCTTTTATAAATGTACTAATATATACATATATATTATTCTGGTATTTTAATAGGATTGCATGTACGAGAAGCTGCCAAATTTTTTAAAAAAGAGTTAATTTATCAACATTATCCATCTTATCCAAATGATTGTTTTATTCAATATTATGTTGTAAAACATCAATAAAATTTTATTAATATTAAATGACTATGTTCAATTATTGTTGAAGGCCTAAAGATTTTAAGTTAAGTAAGAAAACTGCACTTATTACTTGCAATAATGTGTTATAGGGTTGTTTGCATTTAACCCTAATTGCATTTAACTAAGTAAATGCCAGCACAATCTTTGTCACTGTTCTCTACAAGTTAATACACAGCCTCCATGTGACCACATCTGGATAGCTACATTCATCCGTGCGTAGTAAACTAATATGTGCAGCTAAACCTCATGGATGTATAAGGCTATGCGTTGGGCCAACTTAAACACCAAAAATAACACCAGCCTAGACATTTAACGAAGAATCACTCGTGCTAACAAATGTTACTTCGGGATAAGTAGGCAATTGAGAAATAAACCCCTGTCTTAACAAACAAAAACCATGCTCTTATCATGGCTGTCTGTTTGTATGGTGCAGAACCTTGGACAATTACCAACAGTGATGAGAAGGCGTTAGCATCACTCAAGAGAAAAAATTTACGAAAGATCTATGGTCCCTTATGCGATGGGGACGAGTATCGCATTAGATGGAACAATCTAATAACATAATCAAGCACATAAAAATTCATCAGCGTGCGATGGAATGAAAGTGCTTCGACTAGAAATGTGTTTGAATATGGAAAACGCGGTACAGGATGTTTGCATATTTAGAGTAAGGACCAGATGACCAACGATTTGGGAGTGCTCAATAATAACATCTGGCAACAGAAAACCACTGATTGGATTGGCTGGCGGAAGCTACTGAACGCAGCCAGGCACAAGTCACGTCTATAATGGTCAACAAAGTAAGTAAGTATATATCTTAACAATAAGGATTAGTATTGATCAATCTAAGCAACAGATGGTGTTGTTAACCAGAAAAAATGCCTTTATATATAAAATCGTACTACTTTAGAGTCTAAATTTTACTTACAGCAACAAAAAACAAAATTAAATACTGTGAAAGGTTTTTGGAGACGATTGGAAATGGATATCTTTATCAACGATGCGGTATATTTTTAATCTCCAGTTTTTATTTTCCAAACAAAATATGATCTTTTAAACGAGTACTTTTCGTCACCGAGTAAAATTGATACTTTTAAGGATATCCGTTTGAGTAAGATATCACTGTTAGAATTGCTGCTCCTGTCGATATCCGTTTAAGAAAAATATCACTAGCAGAATTGTAAATTATGTCGATAATTGTCAGAGATTTCACCAGCAAAATTATTGATCCAGTTGATATTTATTTTATAGAGATACCACTTTAAGATTCAAGGTTTTGTTTTGGAAATTAATAGTTGAAATTTTTATAGGAAACATTTTTCCTTTACATAATTATCAGTTACATTTAAAACAGAATTACTCGAGGAACTTTAAAGTCTTATTAAAAGTAAAACAAAATCAATATTTGGAGATGTGGTCTTTGTACGCACTCCAATCTTTTTCCTTCTGCGTTGAAATGAGTATATAATTCCTTTATATATATAACTATGATCACAATATTTGGCGATGTAGTCTTTGTACGCACTCCAATCTTTTTCCATCTGCGTTGAAAGGAATATATAATTCCTTTATATATAACTATGGTAATATCAAAATCCTTGTAAATATCCAAGAAAATTTATAAAAATAAAAACTTAACAATGTGTAGAAAATATATATAGTATTTTGTTTTTAAAAATTTATTTCCCAAATATGATCGAAATGTACTTTTATTATTAAAATTCAATTTTTGCATTATTTTTATAAATTAATATTCAAAACACGCATAAAATCGTTTTACATTTGCATGGAAATCCATACCTGTGATAATTGTAAATATGTATTTTTAATATATTTTTTTATTTATTTATTTTTTGTTTTTGTTTTTTTTGGGTTTTATTAAGTACGTATACTTAACTAAACTAAACTACTAAATATGAATTATTGCATTAAACGCATTTTAAAAAATAAACACTTGGTTTATTTTGCTTAAGGTTTAAACAACCTTCAAATTGCCCAACTTTTGTGAAACATTTTTGGTATTAGCTGGTGCTTTCTTGGCTTTCTTAATCGGAGTGGTTTTAGTAGCTTTTGGCTTTTTAACAACCATATCCTTGTGAAGCTCCTTTAAGCTAGCATCAGCCTTTTCTTGCTTATTTTTGATGGCTTCCTTGACCTAAAAGCATTTGTCGTAAAAAAGTGGTTGATATTGTGTTATTAAGTGATCGGTACCTTCTTAAGCTTCCCCTTAACTTCCTTTGGCTTCTTTTTGCCCTTGGTATCAGCAACTTTGAAAACGTTCTTATCCTTCTTTGATTTGTTTAAAGATGTTTTGGCTGGAGCAGCACCCTTTTTGCCACCAGCATTAGCTTTTGCTTTACGTGCCATAACTCACTGAAATATAAACACAGGACGTTTTTACACGTTATACTAAATTTACTTGCATTTTAATACAACAGCTACAACAAAGTTAATTAAAATACTCTTTGGTTTTAATATAAAATAAATTATTTATATTTATTTAGTTTAAAGTTTTAAATAATTTAACATTATTTGCTAACTGCATTTTACTTTAGCAGTTTGTGAGGGGGTGTTTAGCTCTGTTGTGCCATCCGAAGCAGCACGTTTACGACTATTAAGAAGTGCATTATTAGATTCAGTGTCTAACTCTGTTAAAGGCTTTGTAAGCATCTCTGGTGTTAAACGAAATGAGGCACGATACATATCTTTATTAGGAGCTACATTGCGTACAAAATGTATATCCAATGCGTTATTGTCAAGGCTTAAACCTAAATGTTGCTCAACTAGTGGTTTTACTAAACCTTTTGTATCTTCACCTTTAGTGAAAGTATATACATGAACGATAGGATAATTATAAGTTTTATTTGTAAAGTTCAAATCTGTTGCTTCCGCAGCGAATAAACCTCTAAAAGCATCTAGAAACTCTACAGCCATAGCGGGTAGATTCATTGTGATATGTATAGCAGTATCTGACGGAGAATTCGAGTCCACTTCTAACCATCGTTTAAGCAAATCTGCTTTAATATCTTCTAAGATAAAGTCACGCCCATCTTTATTGTATAATTTTGCTTGATTCGTGCATTTATTTCTTTTCATATTATTTTGCAACCAACGATAACTTTCTGGATTGAGATCATTAGCCAATACAATACAACGCTTTTTTGCTGCTGGCACACTAAAAGGACCCACACCAGCAAAGACATCATAAAGCACATCACCAGATTTTAATAGTTGGACTATACGTTCATGCTCAGTACATAATCTTGGATTCCAGTAAACGTTGGAAAAGTCAAATTCGAAAGTAATACCATTCTCTTTGGTTTCCACTTGATATTCTGGAACGCCAGAAATCAACTCGAAGGCAAAATTTCGGTATGTATTGTCAATGGTCGCTGCTTTGTTCACAACTGTGCGACAATTGGGTACTTTATCACATAAAACTTCACCTATTAACTTTTTATATGGCAATAAATGCTCACGAAGATTTATATGCACAATATGACCAATGCGTGAATACGAGGTTAGGCCGTCTTCATCAGTTGGTAGGACACACTTTAATATTTCATCAGCACGCCAATTTTTGTAGTTCAATTCTAATTCTTTGAAATAGAAATCTCTGGAAGTGATTTGATTTTCTTCAAGCTGTTCAATTGGCAGGGAATCCCATGATTTCACTGGTAATGGATGCAATAAAATTTCTTTAAACAAATTTTTATTATCTTTAGATTCATTAAGCACATTCTGCACCGGACGTAATTGCTCCATTTTTAATAACAAATTCTTTACTAATGGTAGCACCTTATGTAGCTGCTCTTCCGGAACACGCAATCGTGGTATCTGTACTTCCTTTCGAAACGCTTCACGTTCTAGCGTTTGCATGCCATACACATGGTGTGGTGGCTTAAGCAGTTCAGAGTCCATATTTTTGAAATAATGTCGCTGACGGAGCTGCTTGAAAATTTTTATATTTGTGTGGTTTCTTCGGAAAATACTTAGCAGCCCTACCATCAATAAGATTTACTAAGCCGTTTATAATTGCTAGTTTTATACAAAATTCTTACAGCACTTATAATACAAAGTAATTTTAAAAATAATACACATTTATTTTAGAAATATTTTATTCAATAAATTTAATTTTTATCAAAGAAAATAATATGAATACAGAACTTATTTTACCTTTTCTACCTACACTGTACGTACGCGAAACAGAATGAACTGAGATGTAATGAACAACGCAACAAATGCCAAACAGCGCAAAAGAGAAGTGCACAGGGTTGTTAAAAACATTAAATAAAATAAAATGAAGTTATAGAGCAACAATAAAATCTATTAAATATAAGAAAAATATAAAGAAATATTCTTTATATAAAATGAATTGAGTAAATAAATTTATTCTAAAAAATTATTAACCATTTTTCTATAGAGTCTGACGCATACAGTTAAAAGAATCATACTGACAGAGTGGTGAATTAACATGGGCGGTGTAACAGAAATACACCACTGCCACCTCAGCACAACTGCATTATTATTTTGAACTGCTAAGCCGACGTATGTTATCATGATTTGAGTTCTACAAAAATATATATTTGTACTAAATTTTAGTAATGAAAAATGCGTTTCTGATTTGTCTTTAACTGAATATTTTTTTCAGACTCTGGGTATTTTTATTCTCTGGGTATTATATTGATATTGTAATTAAATATTTTTAATTAATAAATCATATTGGCTGTAACTTATTTTTAAATCAAACATAATTTATATTAAAAGTAAACATTTTAGTCCATTTTCGACCCGAATACCCTGGTAGCTAGTGCTCGGTTTTTCTATCTTAGTTATAAGATTTTATATAATGTAATTAATTATAATAAAATAAAAAAAAATAGTCCATGTTATTGATAGATTGGCTACATTAGTAGTAGTAAATCAAGCTGGATAATTGTTTTTGTCCAAAAGCAGAATGTGTTAAACTTTTTATTTGTTGTTATAACCCGCTGGGATCAGTTTGTAAAATCTCTTTGAGGGATGGTAAACACAGTGGCGAAGCTAAAACAATTCTGGACGTCGACGACATCAGAGTTATGAGACCCATTTTATTACCTAGTCATAAAAGTAAATAATTTACATTCACTAAGACGATGAGGCATGTATGAAAGTTTTATTGCAAATCAAATTAAAATAAACACAAATTAATATAAATAAAAATGAAATGTGTTTCCAAATGAAGCTATAGTTTATAAACTCGCATGGAATGCATGGGAAGTGTGTTGGTTAGTGTCACTTACAAATAAAGTGACGAAAAACTTGGAACTTATTAAAAGTTTATGCAGCCTTGGCTAGTTGTGGCATAATATGATTAATCATCGTTTTTAATTTGACAGACATGAGTTCTAAACCTGGCATTTACAGTTCAAAAAATTATATACCTACTATAAACTAATTAAATAAAAATTTGGATAGTTCCTAAGATAATAGTTTGGAGTGATATAATCACTACATAATAAGTTCTTTATCCTTTCTGATATTATTTACAATAGTTGTGAATCACATAAATCAATCAAGTCTCAGTGGTTCAGTGGTTCTAAATGTTTAACTATCTGTTTTGTTCAAAAACTTTTGTTCAATAATCTGAACCTTTAGTTTGGATTAAAAACGTTAATTCAGTTATTTTAATCCTTAGCTTGGTTCAAAATATCGCAGGTTTTAATAGTTTAAACCAAAAATTAGTCTCAATGGTTTGGTTTAACACCACAAAAAAGCTCCGCTTTAAAACCGGTAAACATCCCTGCTATTTGCTAATCATATAAATAGAATAAAAAGTTTAAACAATCATGACAAAGCGAATAATTTTTACTAAAAATGTTTATTTATTGATCTTCAAAACCATATTGTCCATAAAAATGCAGACTTGACTACAATATACTGTATATTAGAAAAGATTTTAAGTTTTTTAGTTTATACCACAATAAAGTTTTGTATCGAGTTTCATTTTCTAGTGAAACTCGAATATTTTCGTTCATATCGAAAGCTATAAATATAATGTATGGTATTACTCGCGAGACTTTTCTTAACTCTCTTTTTCTATTTAACTTATATGGCTCTATGAATTTCCCTTTGCTTCTAAGAAAAAATACAAAAAATTGACTAATTAAATTGTTTTAAAACAAATAATATAAAAAAGAAATTAATGAAAATATATTACTTCTAAAACAGATATATATAATATAAAAAAATAAAATAAAATATATAATCCCATACTATTTCCATGATTCAAACACTAAAACTCTATAAAATAGTGATTTTATAACGTCATAGTAGGTATAATATAATCCGTTGGTTTTACAAAAGTCAAGGTATCTTTGGAGTAGTCCTAGTCATAACATATGCCAATTGTACGATAAAATTAATATATACCACTCCAAGATGATCTGATTCTTAGAGAGAGAGATTATAGACATTTTTATTTATCATATACAACATTTTCTGCCAAACTCTTTACTACAGGTTTTGAAAAGATTTCTATGAATTTTTCCATCATAATCGAAGAATTCAAGATCGCCATTTTTTTTGAAGTAGTCACAGTCATAACATATGCCAATTGTACGATAAAATTAATATATACCACCCCAAGATGATCTGACTCTTAGAGAGAGAGATTATAGAAATTTTTATTTATCATATACAACATTTTCTGCCAAGCTCTTTACTACAGGTATTAAAATATTTCTATGTTTTTTTTATCATAATCGAAGAATTTAAGATCGCCATCATCACCAAACCAAAGCTCCTTGATTTTGTTATTGATATTATGTCAACTTCCTCCAAACATGCTATTGTGTAATTAGAAAGTTGATGAGTTGCAATACTATGGTAAAAGTATAACCGGTAATACTTGGAATATTGATGAGGAAACCTTCCTAAACATATATAAACTTATGCGATGACCTATTACGTTCTGTGCGACTGCACTATGGTTGCATTAGAATAATATTTGTCAGAATTAGACAATCAGCACTTTAACCGATTTTCATCCCAAGTCAAATGTTCATTTTTTTATGCGGAGTCCATATTGTTTCGATCAAAAACCATAATTATCTACTGTTCAAGCAATTCATCGTTCCTTTACAACAAAGATGGTCAGCTAAATAGTACTAGAGGTAATATAATCCTATTTCTACATTAGATCCTTCGATTCTTTAACTCCATTAAGAATGTATTGAAACCTACTTTAACGGAAGTAATAAGAATCATTATCGATAAATCTTCTTAACAAGATAATGTACTTTTCCACAGTTTCGCAGGAAAATGCTTAACAGGTTACAATTCCTCCCTGTAAACTAAGCATAGTGACATCCAAATAGTCCCATAGTCAGTTGTACCCACTTTCTTCATCAGTTTTCTTGATTTTTTTTTTTTGACCATAAATATATTGACACAACAAAATCAACTTTAGTGGAATCCAGGTTCAACTAGTGTTTAAAAGTCTTCATTTCACATTAGCGTCTTTTCCAGTTTTAAGACCATTCATTCCCTACATCCAATTTAATAGTACTCACTTCTATTTATGTCTCTACTTTATAGATTATCTTCTATTTGCTTATAACAATACAAATACATATATAATTGTACTTATATTTAGTGATTTATAGGTTTATATAATCAATGCATTATTTGAAATAATTAACTTATGTGGGGATTATAGATATATTTATTAAACAGATTTATAGTGAATTAATGTTACTAATTTTCTAGCCATTTTTATTGTTGTGACATTACTAAAATTTGTTGTTCCTATATAAAGCATAGAGCAGAGTATAACTAATTAGAGACTAACAAGAGGCTTCATTAAATTATATAGAAGTATTTTAAGCCTCCCACAATTCTTAATTTGAAATAATAATTTCAAAATAATTAATTCCAAATTTCTTTAAAAATATTTGTCATATATTTATTTGCAGTAAAAATGTAAAGTACATATTGTGCTTTTATTCTTATAAAATATGTAAGAGATTTATATAAATATTTTGTCAATATAGATATTTGATTTAAAACATAAATAACTAATTAAAATTAATATTGCACTTTGTCAAGTAAATACAAATCAGAAAAATTAACTTAAATTTAATAACATTAATATTAATAAATTATCCGTAAATGCATTATGGAACGGTCATAATTATGGCTTTAACATTTGTGATAGTTAAATAAATAATTTGAGTATTTCTTAAAATTATATTCAAAATTAACAACAATAATAACAATAAAAAAATTAATTCAAATCACTTTGGTTAAGGCGGAAATAGCATTCTTTTAAAAATTAGCATATATAATAACTTAAAAATAAGATTAAAATCATCCATATTTGCTTTCGAAAAAGTTGATTACTTAAAATAACGAAATCAAAAATTATCTGCAATGCTCAATAACGCCTAGTAGCGGTCGTCGGACGAGGTACGCCCGATGTGCGTGGACGTGCTGACTTTGCGCGAACTGGGTTAGTAACACTGTCTGTATTATAGCTGAGATAGACATGAGATAGGTCAACAAAGTCGGGTTCTTTATTATTGTTCTTGGAGTCTGCGATATGCTTCCGCATATTGTTGCCAGTATAGGCAACACATTTCAACTGCCACTCGCCAATGTCTTCGTTCCAGTGTGTGTATTGATTTATCATTGACTGGTATTCCTTTGGTATGTAGGAATTTAAAACGAGTTCACATAGTGCTAGTTCACGAGATAAGCTACGTATATTTTCATAGACACCTTCCTTTTCGCGTTGATGTTCTTGTTGTTGATCGGCTAATTCAGACTTGACACCCATGAGCATTTGCATGACCCTGTGTATTTTCTTCGTAATACCAGTACTAGCATCCTGCAGAGATGAGTAACGTTCTTCAATATCAATACGTTCGGTTTCTTTTTGTTGTAATGTTGCACGCAAAGTTTGCTCAGCTTTTTCACGCTCTTCCAATTCGGCTAGGGATTGCTCTAAAAGTTGTTCTTGTGTATGTGCTTTTTCGAGTAAATTTTCACCGCCGACAAGTATTTTACCTTCCAATGACATGAGTTTGTTAAGTAAATCAGATTTTTCGGATTTTGCATGTTCGATTTCTTTTTCATGTTCACGTACGCGCTTCTCCAGCGCTTCCTTTTCAGCATCACTCTTTTCACGTTTCTTCTTAAGTTTCTTACCATTTTCAACAACACGATTCTCTTCTACTTCAATTTCAATTGCTTCTTCTTCTTCATCCTCATCGTCATCATCCTCTTCCAGTGACTGATCATCAAAAGTGCTTTCTTCAAGCTGTTTACGTAGACGTTCGATTTCTTCCTGGAAGTGACGCAATAAGGCATCTTTGGGTTCTTCATTAATATGCATGCGATTTTGTATGTTCTTAGCACGACTTGCATAACGTAAAGTGGAAATAGTTTCGGAATAATTGCTGTCTGCTGGACCAATTGTTGCACACATAACAGTTTTAGAATTACCACCTAAAGAATCTTGCAACAAACGTGTAAGTTTGGAATTCCTATAAGGAATGTGTGTGCTCTTGCCATCTACCAAAGCGCTTATAACATTTCCGAGCACAGAAAGTGACAAATTAATTTTTGTAGCTTCTTTCAAACGTTGCCCAGTTGCCTGAGTTTTACTCTGCCTCTCAGAACCGGCCAAATCTACTAACTGTAATTTTCCCATACGAACGTGTTGTATGCCTTCCTCACCCAGTTCACTGCTTTCTACGGTAATTGAAAATATTGCATGCGAACGTGAGGATTCTTCATTCATTTGGGTAGCGCCTACAGCACGATTTTTATTACCTAAACGCATTATATTCTCTAAGTCATCCGCATTATGCACCACATAGCCACTTAAATCCTTTACAAAAACACCAATATCGGGACGTTCCTTTACCTCAAGACTTTTGCTAACATCTTTGCCTAGTAAATCACGCACCTCTTCATTATAAATTTCCATATAGCTGACACGGACCAAAAACTTCTGATTCTCTCTAGCTTTTGCTATATGACCGAATATGTGCGCAAATGCATTGGGTATTATGCCTTTTGTCTGAGGCGAATCGGGATTACCAGACATAGTGTAAGTCTTACCAGTGCCTGTTTGGCCGTATGCAAGTATGGTGCCATTATATCCTTCAAGTACTTTCTCTACAATTGGTCTTGCCGTATCTACATACAGGTCTAATTGGTTGGAATCCGCATCAAAGACATTGTCAAAGTAATACGTTTTTGGTGGTTCATTTATTGTTGCATTCTGTTTTACTACAGTGATTGCTCGATTGATTTTATCCACTTTTATTGCATTTACTGAACCGTTGCTGATCTCATAGTTGTCCATTGGACGCGCACGTACCACAACACGTACATTCTCAATTTCACCTTCAACTCCATCAATTTGTTGATGTTGGTCTTGTGGCATTTTTAATTAAACACTTTTCTATTACTTTTTTAATTTAATATATTAATTTATTTTTAAATGTTGACGTTGCTAAGATATTTTATGCAATTCCTTGCTGCTAACATTTGTTTATTGATTTTTGTCACCACAGCTGACTCACAAGCACGGCACTGCCATATCAGAAAAATGTAAGTAAATTTCAAATTATGGAATTATAGTTGTACGCTTGAGTTAGCTGAATAATTTCGCTATAGTACATTTCCAATGTCTCATTTATTTAATTTACGCAGCTGATAGAAATTTTATGCACTTCACTTAATAATATATCACACAAAAAAATTATATATATAATTGATATATTATATTATTTATATACATTTTATATATCAATTACACATTCAATTAATAAAAACAAAGATTTTATTAAATACTTTCTTTTTCTTCTTGTTTATAGCTGTGTGTTTACATTTTACGTATAAAACATATATTGTTAAGGGATGTATTCGACATTTTTCCCTTAAATGAGCTGTTTTATTGATAATGAGCTCACTTATTTGAAAGATTTTTGTATGAGAAATCATACTGATTTGTGACTATAATTAACAAAACCGTTTAAATAAGATAATATAAATGTGTTCATAAATGAGTTGATTTATTGATAGTGAGCTCATTTATATGGAAGCATTTTGTGTAGTAAACGGTAACGGATTTCTGGAATAGTAAAACATATTTAAAAAAATTATAATATTATAATATGAAAAATTTGAAATAGTAAAAGTCGTTAAAATGTTAAAAAATCTTAATAAATTTTCTGCATTATTCAATAAATAAAATAAAAGTGCTATAAGATTATTTATCCTGAATCGCCAATGGAGACATCAGTGTTTTTAGACATTAGCACAGTAAGGGCGTTATATACTACTGGGAAATAATAGCTCATTCAAAGGTTGGATCAATCGGCTTGAATGATAATAGGAAGTGAAGCCAATTCAGTATGTGTGTGTATACTTTCTGATATTAAAGTCCATAAATTAAGGAAACAAATTTATAGAGTTCTGTGTATACACTGTAATCACTTCATCTATATGATGACGTATTTTTTGGACTGCACACATTTAGCCATTTATCAACACGTATCGACACATCACTAATTTATCGGCACAACTTAGAATTTCCCTCATTTAGAACGAAACTTAGCCTAACTCCCACACGTCCGTATGAATCGTAAAGGAAAGAAATTAGAAACGTATCATATTTGGCTACTGTTTATTTATTAAAACAGTTTTGATTATTTTGGACATACATTTCACATTGAACTAATTTAATGTATAGTTTATAGTATTTTTATTGTTTTGCGTGTTAGTTGCTCACATTATTGTTTCCTGAAATACAACTTTGTCAATCGAGTGCTAAGAACACAATCAAAGCGAGATAAAACTATAAAAAACCACAGTATGATTTTTATAATATTGTCTCGCGTGGGTTGTGTACATAAGGCGTGTAATAATTTTTTTACATTTTTGGTAGAAATTTAGAAATGATGAAGTTTTTGAAATTTGTAGACCTTTTTAATAAAAGTTTTGTTTTATTAAATAATGTAATTATAAATTAACTTAAAACGTTAATTAATATATAACTTGTTTTGTGTTTAGAAAATACAGTATACAATTCAATTTATTTTTATGCTACATTTCAAATAAATATTTTGGCAACCGAACGTTATGTGGTTCCATAGTGTAGCGGTTATCACGTCTGCTTTACACGCAGAAGGTCTCCAGTTCGATCCTGGATGGAACCAGCGGGATTTTTTTTTCGTATAAAACATATATTTTTAAATTAAATTTATTAGAAAAGACAGCCTAAAAAATTATTTTTATTATTATATGTGGTTGGTAATAATATATTTCAGAAGATTAATGCTTTGCAGAAAGTTAAGGAATAATTGTAAATAAATTAAACTATTATAATTAATAATAAATATACAGTTCAGTTATATTATTAAGTGATTTTATTTATAAAAACTGTTGAACTTGGCTTTCCCTATTTACCTAAAATATTTCCATATTTTCAAATGGTTGGTATATTCATAATATTTAAATAAAAATTACAATAGTTTTGACAAAAGATTTTAATTACATATTTATTTATTACATTATATTTATTTATTATTAATATTTAATTACAAATATTAAATTTGTTTAAGCTATCTATAAATTTTTTATGTGTTCTGAAGAAAAACTGAGGACTTGGTAAAGTAGATTCTGTACTACAATTTATCGCGAAAATGTGATTTGCTAAAATACTCTGAATCCATGAAGGTAGCACAATAAAACTCTAGAATCGCACTATCACCCAGCATTTGTAGATTGCTAAATCCGTGAATTTTTAATGCAAAAGTGCTAAGAATCTAGTGCTTTAGCGAAAATGGCACTAGAATGGAACCAAAAAAGTTTGCTTAAATGGGGCGGTCGACTTATAACCTGTATATGACCGGTAAGAGCGGAATGTCGTGGCAGAGGCTCTGGCCAGGAAATAGAAAGAATAGCACAAGATCGACAAAGCTAGAAGGAATTTGTTGCTGCTCTATGCTCCGTTAGGAGCGATATATAATTTTATATATTTGTGTTTAGCCAAAAAGTGTGTTTGTTTATGTTTATCTTGTAGATGCAAAAGAATTAAAAAAAAAATTATTAATTTTTTTTTCATTTAAGCTAATAACGACGATTTATATATTATTTAAATACAATTTCATTCATTATTTACGTTACATATTTATAAAAAAAATATTATGCAAAAAAGTCCACTTGGTTCCATCCAGGATCGAACTGGAGACCTTCTGCGTGTAAAGCAGACGTGATAACCGCTACACTATGGAACCGATAAATATACCGTTGATTAATTTTAAAATTGAATGCAAGTACTTTAAACGTGTTTAATACATTTCAGTTGGCTGAAAACTAATTGGTGGAGTTGGTCAAGCAATCACGGTCAAGGTTTTTATCTTTACAATAATAGTTCATATCTAATTATTAATAAATTGTGTTTTTCGTTATAGGTTGTTATAGGTTGTATTGACGAATATCCGGTTTCCTAGCATGCAGATATTTCACTGGATCACATCTTTCTTCTCATACTGGTAGTAATAAAAAAAA